GTGCACCCCTGGACCTCAACCGCAAGGATCCGATCGCAGTGTGCACCGCTGGACCTCAACCGCAAGGATCCGATCGCAGTGTGCACCGCTGGACCTCAACCAGATAGTTTGCCAGATAAAGTCCACAAATACACAACAAGCACACAATCACAAACACACGACCACAAACGCGCAACCACAAACACACAACCACAAACACAATCACAAACACAATCAAAAACACACAACTACAAACACAACTACAAAGACACAATCACACACACACATAACCACAAACACAAAACCACGAACACACAACCACATCACAAACACACAATCACAAACACAATCACAAACACACAAGTACAAACACAGCTACAAAGACACAATCACACACACATAACCACAAACACAAAACCACAAACACACAACCACAACCACACAACCACAACACACAATCACAAACACAATCACAAACACAATCACAAACACGCAACTACAAATACAATCACAAACACACAACTACAAACACAACTACAAAGACACAATCACAAACACACAACCACAAACATACACACAGCACAACCACAAACACACACACACACACACGCAAACACACAACCACAACACAACCACAAACACACAACCACAAACACACAAACACACAACCACAAACACACAACCACAAACACAACCACAAACACATCCACAAACACAACCACAAACACACAACCACAACCACAAGTACAACACACAATCACAAAGACGCAACCACAACCACAACCACAACTACAAACACATAATCACAAAGACACAACCACAACCACAACTACAAACACATAATCACAACCACTACCACTACCACAAACACAACCACAAACACATCCACAAACACACAACCACAAACACAACTACAAACACACAATCACAAAGACACAACCACAACCACAACTACAAACACACAATCACAAAGACACAACCGCAACCACAACCACCACACAACCACTACCACAACCACAAACACACAACCACAAACACAACCACAACCACAACACAGCACACAACCACAGCACACAACCCGAGGACCCACAAGCAACATCGAGAACTACAATACTAACGACATCTAACGACTATGGCAACATGCTCCTCACTATGGCATCAAGACAAATGATTGAAATGTCATGGTGGGGATCAATCGAAGTAAAGTAATTTTTTAATGAACAAGTGTCTTCAGCTATATAGTTTTCCATTTGACAGGTTGAACACATATGTCAACATATGACAACATTTGCCTTTTAGCAAGCTTTAGACACTTCAAACAATCTTCCCATTGATTCTGTGTTGCTCATGCATACTGCTTGTACTGTAGCGCTTTCGGCACAAACTTTGAAGCGCTTTCCAAATCTCAGCCATGACGTATCAGTACTGCTGGTACTGTTTGATGGAGAACTTTACAAGAGTACCTGAGCTTCGGATTGTGATTGCGATTGGCTTGGCAGTCCATCCAGGCGAAGAGGATGCGCTGGTACCGCGACATAGTGGCGAGGCGATGCGATCGAGGTGGCCACAGAGGCGGGGGCTCAGCCGCGCTTGCTTGCTCCGCTTGCTTGGGAAACAGGAGCAAAAAAGAACCGAAAAAGCCGATGCGTTCAAATCCCAGGCCTGCTTTGCCAACAGCACAGGCCGTTGCCCATTCATCGAGCCTTCGCACATCAACGGGCCCACGATGGACCACTGCGACGAGCAATCAGAAGTCCTCTTTGTCTTCACAGAAGATGCAGCAGACAACCAGCCACCGCCCGCGACCTCTCCACCTCCAACTGCTACACCACTCCCACACCTCACAGAATCAGCCGACCAAGCCTTTTGGTCTGGGGTCTATACGCTTGACCCACCTCACGCCTTGATGGGCGTACTGACCGATCTCCACATACACCGCTTTCTTCTACATCAACAACCAAAGATTTCTTGATGCCTGTTGAGCCAAGTTGGGCAGTCCAGCGGCAAAGAGGCCAAGGAAAGTGGAAGGGATGGAGCCCTGAAGCGGTCCTCAGAGCTGCTTTTCAGCAACGAAAACATGGCCCGCCGCCATGTTGCAGAGCAAGTTGGCGGCGGTAGTAGTAGCCACGCCCATGATTGCAAGTTGTTTGCCTCGCAGCTGATTGTAAAAGGTCAGCAGACTGGGTTGGCAAATTTCTTGCTTGAAGCGCAAGCCAGTAACAGGCAGATCAAATTTGCTTTGTCTAATATGATCTTCGATGAACTTGAACTGGAAGCCACCCTTGCTGCGTATGGCCAAGGCGCGTGGTCAATTTTGGCTTCCCACGCTCAAATCAGCTTCCGGGTTGGAAACCAGACAAACTATTTCGATTCCATTGCCTTGCCAAACAAGCAAGCCTGCACGATGTGGCCAGCACTTTGCGCAGGTGATGGGTTTGTCCACTGTGCCTGCACAAGTCCGTGTTGTTTTGGTCACTTGCGACGCTGCACCGGCCAACATTAAATTGCTTGGCCATCTACAATCTGTGCTTGACCCAAAGACCTTGCTGTTGCCGTTCTTGTGCCTCCAGCACCGCACTTGGATAAGCGGTTGCTCTTGCTTGCGCGTTTGGTTGGAAAGTAGGTTACTGTTGCTGTCTGTCCACAGGTAGCAATATAGTAGTAATTGCAATATTTGTTGATTCCCAAAGGGGAGAGGTTTAGAAGCCCCATCGAAATAGCGCGGCCACAATTTCATTGTTGAAGAGAGAAGAGTGAGCAACAACAAAAGATCAACAACCTTGGGTATTTTGAGGCCCCTTCTATAAGTTGTAAAGCAAGTTCATCACCCTTCGAAACAGTTGTTACATAGCCCGAGCAATCTTCAAAACAAGTTTCAAAAACTGTTAGCCAGTTCAATCGCTCTCAAGAAATTTGTGAACAGTTCGAGACATTTTCAAAAACAATTTCCAATCAATTGTTGAAGGTTATTTTAACAGTTTAAACAATTTTAGAACAGTTTTCAACAACTGTCAAACAATTCAAACAAATTTTAGAACGGTTAGTTTTCAAACAATTTAAACAATTTTAGAACAATTTTCAATCAATTGTTAAACCATTTTTAAAAAATAGAACAATTTGTTAAACAATTGAAACAATTTTACAATTGTCAAAACAAATTGTTGAAACAATGTTTAATGTTCAAAACAATGTTTCGGACCTTACCGTGCTTGCTGGAAGTGCAGAGGTTTTAAAACCATTCAACAAATAAATGAACTGTTTTGCTTTTGTTGGCCGCTTCCATTGTCTTACACTCAAATGCATCCTTGGGGTTTGATGTGTTTACTCCTTGTTGTTCTCAACAAATTCCAACCCCCTCACGAACAGTGAATGCCACACACGAAAAAAATAGCACGTTGTTTGTATGTTTGTTCGTCCACTTCGCACCCGAAACCACAATGTATCAAGGGATGTTTGGAGAGCGCTTTCTTCAGATCCTTGGAGAGCGCCATTTGACCTTTAGAACTCTACAGACCTCCTTGACCGAGCAGCTCGCACTGGGGTGGGTCTCCCAATCACTGGAGTGGCGCGGGTTCAACTCATATTGCGTTTACCAGGATCCACAAGAGGTTGTTTATGGACATCCCTAACCCCTATAGGCCTTTTTGGGGGTCTTTTGAATAGACACCTCAAGCAGAGGGCCCTGGTAGTGGCCCCGGTATATTTTGTTCAATGTAGAATCTAGCTTAAATCAGCTTAGATGAGTAAACCATCCCCAGGCATGGATGGTAAAAGCCATCCCCAGACATGGCGGATTGAACCATCATCGACATTCTACCTAGCACTCCCAATGGGTGCCCAATGGAGACCTATACGTAGGGTAGGGTTGTCCATTGGTGGCCCGTTGGAAGCAGCTAGTACCATGTATTTTGTTCAGCTCTCAAAAAGCCGCGATGCTGTCCCGTGGCCCCTTGAGCTCCACCCAGGTGACCAGTGCCAAAGGCCTCACGGGCTCGTACCTGCCTCTCTCCATGGTGGGTGTGCCTTGAACTAGAGAGGAGTGGAGGTCGACCTCTCGAGGTCGAAGGTCCAGGCCTTGCAGGAACTGACCGAGTTAGAAATTCTGGAGTTGGTCATAATGTAGATTCTCGAGGACCATACACCCCCCCCTTTTGAAGAGGATGTTCAATTCAAATGGCGGGGTGTATGGTTCTCAAGAGTCTACAGAAGCACAACTCGGTTGGAGGTCAGTCAGACCAGGAGACCGGACCGACAGGGACTTGGGGAGAGGTTGAGATGGATTTCGCATGGCAATTGGACCAGTTCTGAGACAACATCCCGCCCCCCTGGAAAACAACATTCACATACCCTCCCTCCAACGAACATGGAAGTGTACAACATGGTACAACCTCCTGTTTTTGTGATGAAAATGAGTCTTTCCAATAGGGCTTCCACTTTCACTTCTTGTTGGAGGGAGCTTAAACTTGAAGCAGCCAGCTTCTTCAGGTCGAAAGCCCTACCGCGCATCCGCTGGTAGAAAGTGTTGGAAGAGTAGATGCACAGACGTGTGGATTTGAACACATATTCCGCATGGGCGGTGTTGTAGCTGCTTAGCTTCCCTAAATGTTTGTTGGTATTGTTGCTTGCCCAATTGGTTGCATGATGGTTTTTGTTGCATCATTGCATGATTGTGTGGTAGAATAGGCGGATGATTGAGTCAGTGCATCATGTCCGTGATCCACATCGAGGTGCGGCAGAAGATCAAGAACTACTTCTGGGAGAAGCCAGTCACTCGGCCCATCTGCCATCGTCCAGATCGGAGGACGCTTTCAAGGCTGAAGGCGTTGCCGTGAAGGCTGGATCACTTGTCCAACTTTGGGGGATTGGTGACACCCCAGGAGAGATAGAACAGGTGGAGTTTGTTGGGTTAACCCTTCTTTTGCAGGTGTGAGAAGACTGGATGATGGTTTGGAACTGGTCACATTCTGGTGATCTGATTGAAATCTCACTTTGCATATCCTCAAATTCTTGAAGACAGTCAGACACTTAAAGACTCTCCCAGATCTTCTTTTTCGTCGGATTTGTGTCGCTGGGAAAAAAAAATAGTCACCAGATATTATCGCCTAGAAGCATGACATGGGGCAAGAATTTCTGCCTCGGCCCAATTGGTATGGGAGGGTTCGTCGAATTTAAGTCCTATCCGCGTTGGGTACATAGGAGAGAAACATAGCCCCCCCACAACCCATCACAACGGCTTGAATGCCACCAGCCAGGACCTTCAAAGTGATCTTTTGAGATCCCAGTGGCTGAGGTCACTTAGTCCCTAAAGAGGTCACTTTGACGGCTCCAAAGAGGTCACTTTGACAGTCCTGATCTTCGTATCTCAGGATCACCCACCCTCGGTTTAGGCCCTTGAACATCAATGGTTCCAGAAATTCCACCTTTGCCAGTGTAGTTTCTTAAGTGTTGTTTTACTCCTTGCGTATGTATTTATCAAGATGAACGTTCCAAAGCCAAGAGTCACATGACAGTAGCCAGGGAATTCTCAGTGAGGTGACAGTTCCAGTGAAAGAACGACTCCATGCAACTATGCAACCCCCCCAAAAAGATATTCAGAGCTACCAGAATACGTACTTAGTCCTTGTGTCAGATGATTCCTGAAATGGAAGCTTCGTGGCAAAAGGTGGATTTCAGGACGGTAAGAGCTGCTCTTCTCCAAAACGGCATGTGTTTCACAATGTTTCATGTGCCGAAAGGATCTTTATGGCAATAGGAAGATCCCTCAGCTGTCAATGGTCTTAGTGAAAGGATGCATGTTAATACGGACCCAAATCAAGCAGGTCCAGGAATTGGGGACCCTGTTCCAATACACGGCCCATAAATATCAACTCGATTCCATCCTCAGGTTGGCTGGGGTGCCACATATCATGCACACCCGGTGGCAGTGGCCTGTGCCTATGAGACAGTGAAGTACATGCTCAAGGCAGCTCGCGGGGCATGTGAGACACGTCGCACCAGCATCATTTGAAGTCGTTTTCCTTTTTTCAGCAAAGCAGGGACTATGGGAGGTCCACGCCAGTTCGGGCAAAGCCTCTTGGAAGCCGCACTTGTCCAAGCGAACACAGCACTCACCAGCACCTTCCAGTCACCTGGCTGGACAGCTACTTCTGGATCTCCATTTGCGGAAGCTGTGGCTTCCAGGCAACGACCCATTCTGTAGCTTCCCACAGAAGGCCCCTACCCCGGGTCCAGGCAGTTTGCTCGGGAGGGCCGATTCCCTCTGGAAAAAGAATGCCGAACCGCCGACGGCCAACTTGTACCCATTCTCTGAGGTACGAACAGGTCGACTCCAGGTAGTTCTTGACTTCCCCGGAATTCGATTCTAAGGAATTTGGATTCGAATTAAGGGAATCTGCAGTATAGGCCGGTCAGCCACCATCCTCTGGACTCCGCACCAGTCAGTTGATTCCGCTTTCTGGCTCGAAGGCCTTCAAACTGGTACGCGTATACGCAGAAGCAGCCGAAAGGAGACCGTAGCACGGTAGGAGCCTGTAGCAGCACAGTTACAACAAGGAAGTCCAAGACTATTAGTTGAAATTGTCTTTAAAGTGATCCGAAAAGGACTTTTCCTCTGAAATGCTGCGCATTTCATGGGCGACATCTGGCGAAACGCTCGCCAGCTGGAAAGCCGATGAGGTTGAGGGCACAGCTGTCAAGTTCCTGAAGCAGCGCTTGGCAGAGCAGATCGGAGTCAGCAGATTCCGACAGAGATGGTTTAGTCATGACTACACGGAATTCCAGGATGATGACGAGCTAACATTAGATCTAGATGTGCAAGTGATAGTGCTGGATTTCATGACGCCCTTACCTGAAGATCGCATGCAGCTAGCTTTGGCCTGTGCTGCGAATGGTTCCCTGGTCCTGGAAGCCTTGCTCCGAGATCGATGCCTGCCTCCAGACGCTGCCGACGAGTGCGGGCAGACGGCACTGCAAGTTGCAGCTTCCAAGGGGCATTTGGATTGTATGAGCTTCCTTGCAAGATTTTGCAAGATGTTTTTTGCTATTCCTGGTTCTGCTAAAGGTGATTTGGGTGAAGCGCCTAACCTGGAAAATATGGTATATTATTTGTTTTTTCTGGCTCCTGGACTACAAATCCAAGTATGCTCCAGTGATAGATGGCCGGACTGCTACGCCCTTGGTTGGTTTTTTTGATTTATGGGAAGCGGATACCCCGCAGGTGAACAACCAAGTTCGGTATACCTGGCACATCTCCCAACTTGCCGCACCCCTTCAAGGACCGCCCTCAGAGTCGCTGGTACCGTCTCAGTGGTATTTAGACCGTCTCCGCAACGTTGGAGCCCTTGCCATTTAACTGAGTCATTGTGCGCTTGTCTTCAGCGCGCGTGAGTGCTTACGGGTGTCCTTCATGTTTTGGCTTCCTTGGTTGATGAGGTTGGCAGAAAAAAAACTATGTCACGAAGGAAGAAAAAGACCACGGAAGATGTTGTTTCTGGAGCTTTCAACTTCCTATTTGAGGGTATACACGTGTGGAGGCCCCTATGAAATGGAACCGAACCATAAGGCTTTGGAGGCCTTTGCAGTTTGCAGCCAGAGTATTTTGGCCACATCAAGGTTGTTTCTGCTGTTGTGTTTCCCTCCTAGAGTCTCCAGTCCCAGGTTTGCTTCTGGAAGCAGGCGCGGATCAGAATAAGCAGGACTCCCTAGGGCAAACAGCGTTGCATCTGGCATCAGAGGACCGGGTGGGATCCGAAAGCTCTTAATGCCCTCCAGTTCAGACCGATTCCTTTGCTTTGAAACAGGGTCTGTAAGTCTCGAAACCCTGTGAGGCAGGACGGCAAGAAGCTGTCCAACTTTTACTTGAGAATGGAGCTGAATCCGAACTTGTGGCCGGATATGACGAGGAGACGCCTTTGCATTTGGCAGCTCTTGCAGGCTGTACTGAGGTGGTGAGACTGTTGCTTGAGCATGGAGCGGATAGAGACTGTGTCACCATCAATGGTGAAGCTGCCTTGCATTTAGCGGCCAAGGCATCTGAGGTGGAGGTTGTTCGGCTGTTGCTTGAGGATGGGGATGACAAGGACAAGGTAGGTGAGTCTTAAAGCCTTTGACGTTTTTTGTCGCCTCCGCTGCAGTTTTTTTGTTTTCGGAAAGTGAGCCAACTCCCCCTCTTCGATGTGATTCAGCAAACATACCAACTCCATCCAATGAGACCGGAAGAGTGCATTAGGATTATGTTAGATTATTTTCATGGACTTAAATGAATGTATGCAACATTATGCAACGATTCCACTCCCATGCATGGTCTGGGATATCTAGGCCCAATCTCTTTCCGGCGCAACTGCTTTGCATTTGGCCGCTGGTTATGGCAGCGCTGAAGTTGTGGAGCTGCTACTGGAAGCGAAAGCTGACCAGGACAAGACAGCATTATGTGGGAAGACAGCCTTGCACGAGGCAGCCGAGGTTGGTCAGCTGAAAGTTGTAAGACTGTTGCTTCAGGCTGCTGTTGACATGAACAAAGTTACAAGATCCGGAACGACTGCTTTGCAATTGGCATTGGTCTTTGGTCATCAAGCAGCTCAGCTGAACATGAGTGTGCCCTCTTCAACTCCGTTCACCCAGACTCCCCCAGACGTGCACTGATAGCGAGTGGTGAATTGGCCCACCAGACCCGCAAGAGTTCCGGGGCCCGGACACTCCGTTCACTTTCCCGGTTCCTCAAAACCGATTGGTGAGAGTCCCCACCAGACCCCACCAGACCCCAAACATGCGGGTCCTAGAATTGAGAGCCTAAAAGCGTGGGATGGAGAGCCATGAAATGGCTCACCAAAAGGGCCTGAAACAGCCCTGGCCCTTTTGAGGCCCAACGTAGATGAACACACATACACCTATAGAACAGCATAGCCCAATATTGTCATCCTTACGGGCATGAAGACCCAGTGCTCTCTTTTTTGCCGATGACTGGGCGCTTTTCGTGTCTGGTCCGGTTACTGGGTGATGGTGTTTCTGTTCGTCCGCAGGGTCGAGAGCAAAGTCAAGTGAGACTTGTTCGAGAAAACACGCCTGAAGAGGTCTACTGAAGGCGTTCGTTGTTCTTTTTCCGCCTTGAAAAGGGTTTCTTGAGACCTCAGAGACCACCTTTTGACTTCATGGAAAGGGAGTCCAGGTGTAAGAAAAGCCTTTGTTTAACCTGAGTTGTTTTTTTGTTTTAACCAACAAACTGATTTTTTTTTATATCGCCTTTCGGGACCTTATTTTGTTTGACACATTTTGGAATCGCATTCCAGGACTTTGTGGAAACCCATCGAACTTTGAAGGTTCTCCCACATCCAAAATCGACCTGTTTGGGGAAGTTGGCAGAGATGGAAAACCGATGTTTCAGCATGACATCCATTTGTTGTGGGAGGACGTTGTTGAGTATTCCAACAACCCCTTCCTGACCGCCCTTGTTGTTTTCACACCATGTTGGGTCGTTGTCGCGGTCGTTTGGCCTTTTCGACTTCCCCGAGGAAGTCGCGGAGCTTTTGCAGACCCACGCGGAGCTTGAGTCACTGGGGGCGGAGTGGAAGACCAGCGGAGTCGTTCCCCAATAAAACGACCGATTCGCGCCGCGGGCGGTGGTGGAGCGGCCTGGGCTCCAGTCGTAGCTTCGTTTCGTTTCGAAGGGACTGGGCTGGGTGGACTACAGGAGGGTTCCAATAGCTTTTGAGGTACATACTTGGAGCCTAATGGGATGGAGTGCGACGAGTGCGACGAGACCACGGACAGACCGGCAGATCGGACCGTGGCCGTCCTGGTGAACTGCTCAGTGGGAATTTACTGGGGTCCTTTGAACATCAGTATTCTCCTTGATCACGACCTGTCTGGGACTGCCAGTCCGGACTGCCCCAGAAAGGGGTGGTTGACTGGGGGTCTTTCTGGGGCGGCAGTCCTATGGCAGTCCCATGGGTCGTGTCTGGGTTATAGAGTAGTCTCCTTTGCTATTGTTAATACCACATTGCTACTCTATTGTATAATCTGTGGTAGTCTCCTTTGCATTGGGACGTTGTTTTCATTTTGCATTGGCAGTTTTTGCCTTGTACGGAATGGACTTGTGTGTCATGTCTTCTGTCTTCAGTATGATGATGTTGAGTTGAGTCCAGGGAATGTTGACCATGTACTTTTGCCATGTCTTGTTTTGTCATGGTTGATGAGTGCGCTTGGTTGACTCCGCTTCTTTCGATCCGGCTCGGAGCCTCCTAGTGACCGGTCGACCGGTAGACCAATCCCGTTCGGTTGGGATTGTGGCATGTGGGTCCATGTGGGTCCCGGAATTCGGCGCAGTCTGGAAGTTGTGCAGAGTTTTCTCGCCAGCCGGGCCTGGCTCATGCAGACTGACAAACAGAAATGGCGATGAAACTCGGAGATAGCAAACACAACATGCAAACAACCGACGACTGTCCCTAAAAAGCTAAGCGGCTACTCTTGAGACTCCTTCGTTCGACTGCCGGAGGAAGCTCAAACACTCAGTGCGTTCCAGTGACCCTCAACCCTGCCAGGTCACCACCTGCCACTTTCGAGTCTGCGAAAGCCACCAGAGGACACCTGTAGAGTCAGGTGCTAGTGACAGTCTGTTTGAGACTCCAGGTGTACAAGACACCCAAGAGCCGCTGCATATGTAACCCCTAGGGCTCCCGGCCCATATCCTCAGGTTCAGTGGTATTCAACCCCCCTGGCCACCCACCCCTGTCCCATCGAAACGGAGGCAGGCCAGGAGCCCTAGGGAACTACAATTACTGCCTCCCCAGCAGCAACTGCCGCCCGTGTGCCACACCATGCTCAAGCTCAAGTGGGCCATGACGGGCGAGCCACTGACCTGCTGGCCTTCGGCGGAGGCCCGAGGCTCGGTGCACGGTGGTCCCAGGACGCATGGGGGGGGACGGGCGTCGTGCGTCTGCCACAAGTGGATCCGGCCATTCCCTACCC